CTATAAATGTTCTTAAATCATACCACTAGGATAATAGAATAAGATGTTATGGTGGAATAAACTATCTTCATTGCTATTTGAGTCTTTCTTTTTTTGAAGAAAAATTATTCACACTCTTTTTTTTTTATTAAGTTTATTGGTACATTTTAGGTGTAAAATATGGTTACATTCCTCGTTCGGATCTTGTACCTTTACATAGTGTATCTTAGTTCTTATTTTTTCCCCACTTCCCTGCCCTCCCTTCAACCCCTCCACCCTTCCCTGTTTACAGAGACTTTGTTTCCATTTTTTCCTTTTCTCATTTTTTTTCTTTTCCCTTCTTTCCTTTCCCTACCCTTACCACTTCCCCTACTCCTTTAGACCTTTACTTCTATTTCACGTTATCAATTATACCATTTGAACCTTATTTACACTTTTAGTTTTTCACACCAGAGAAACTATTCGGTATTTACACACATGTCCTATTTATTTCACTTAAGAGTATGGACTCAATATGCATCCATTTAGCTATAAATGTCTCTAGCTTCTCTTTCCTTATGGCTGAGTAGTACTCCATTTCATAAAAAACCCCACATCTTCTTTATCCAGTTTCCAGTTGATGGGCACTTGGGCTGTTTCCAAGCTTTCGCTATTACAAACTGTGCTGCTATAAACATGGGTGAGCATATATCACTGTGGTATGATTCTTTTAATTCTTTTGGAAAGATACCCAGCAGAGGGATAGCTGGGTCAAATGGGACCTCTAATTCTAGTTTTTCGAGGTATCTCCATATTGATTTCCACAGTGGTTGCACGAGTTTGCACTCCCACCAACAGTGGAGAAGGGTTCCTTTCTCCTCACAGCCCCACCAACATTTGTTATTGTTTGATTTCTTGATAGCAGCCATTCTTTCTGGGGTGAGGTGGAATCTCAGTGTTGTTTTCATCTACATCTCTCAAATGGCCAGTGATGTTGAACATTTTTTCATATATTTATTTGCTGCTTTTACTTGTTTGTCTGAGAAATATCTGTTCATTTCAGATGCCAATGTTTGAATCAGGTATTTATATTTGGGGGGGGTCTGATTTTTTTGAGTTCTTTATATATTCTAGATAGTAGACCTTTGTCTGACGGACAGCTAGTACATTTTTTTCCCCACATTGTAGGTTGTCTCTTTGCTCTTTTGGTGGCTTCTCTTGCAATGCAGAAGCTTTTTAATGAGATGACATCCCAGTTATTGATTCTTTGTGCTAGTTCCCGTGCTACTGAGGATTTGTTCATAAAATCTTTTCCCATGCCAATGTCTTCACGAGTTCTACCTAATTTATCTTCCAGTAAGTTTAGTATTTCTGTTTTAATATTTAGATCTTTAATTTCCTTTATTTTACTTTACTGCTTGGTGAAAGATAGGGGTCTAGTTTTAATCTTTGGCAGGTTGAAATCCAGTTTTTCCAACCTCATTTATTAAAGAGGCTATCTTTCCTCCAGTGAGGATGGTTGGCTCCTTTGTCAAAGATGAGGTAGCTGAGTATGTCTGGAGTTGTTTCTGCATCTTCTAATCTATCCCACTCGTCCTCGGGCCTGTTTCTTTGCCAGTACCATGCTGTTTTTACCACAGTAGCTTTGTAGTATAGTTTCAAGTTGGGGATTGTGATACTCCCTGTCATGTCTCTGTTGCCTAGAATTGTTTTTGCTATTCTAGGTCTCTTCTGTTTCCAAATGAATTTTTGGATTGCTTTCTCTAGTTCTGTGAAATATACTACTGGGATTTCAATCTAGATTGCATTGAATCTATATAGCAATTTTGGAAGTACGGCCATTTTCACTATATTGGTTCTTTCTACCCAGGAGCAAGGGATATCTTTCCATTTTCTTATATCTTGTTTGATCTTAAAAAAAAAATACTGTAGTTTTCAGTGTAGAGGTTTTTGTCTCCTTCGTTAGATTGATTCCTAGATATTTCCCTTTTTTGGATGCTATTGTGAAAAGAATTGTTTCCTTAATTTCTCTCTCAGTGAGTCTGTTATTTGTGTACAAGAAGGCTATTAAATTTTGAGTGTTGACCTTTTATCCAGCTACTCTACTGAACCTGTCATTTAAGTCTAGAAGTCTTTTGGCAGAATTTTTTGGGTCTTCTATGTAGAGTATCATATCGTCAGCAAATAGTGACAGTTTAACTTCTTTCTTTCCTTTCTTTATTCCCTTTATTTCTTTCTCTTGTCTAATAGCTATGGCTAATGTTTCCAAAAGTATATTGAACAGGACTGGTGATATTGGACCACACATTTTTAATATTGCTGTAAAAATCATGTGTCACAATTCTGTCCTAATGAACTTTTTAAAAGACCACTTTTATATAAATTTTATATAACATTTTATTTGTAACATGACTTTGAGATGAACTTTGACTCTTTAGGTTTTTGGTTTAGATTCTAAAGGACTTAGGAGGACAAGGAGTTAGAAAGAAACTGCTTTTGCATTCTTACCTCTCTCACAACATCCCAGTTTAGAAAAGCTACAATTGGAGAGTTTGAGAGAAGTTTTTGGAACTTACACAAAGATATGTGAGGATAACTGCCATTTCATTGAGCACTAGTTCTCCTCAAGTGAAAAGAGGTGCATTTGATTTTGCCTAAAGCAGGGGAAAAGGATTGTGAATATAGCACTTAGGGTGATAGACATGTACTTCTCTCTGCCTTTGTGTCTGAGGAAAACACTAGGCTGGTGAGTCTCTCTTTTTTCTTGAAGCAACTAAAGGTGAGTGATAGGATAGATAACCTGCTGCTTTGATGTTGGTGAGGGAGGCTGGTTGCTTTGTGTCACCTCTAACTTCCAGATTTGTACTGGGTCAAAAATTTATGTGTGTACAGCAAGCCAGATTTTGGCTACATGTAGGAATCATTTGTTAAATTCCATGCTCTCCAAGAGGGCTGCCTAGTGTCAAAAAAGAGCCTGAAGAGGAAGTGGAGGCCAGGAAATGTACAGCCAGGTGAGATACTCTGGTAGTGGAATTAAGGATATCTCTGATAGTCCTACAAAGCTCTCATCTGTTAGGCCCAGGGGCCTCAGTGCCAGAATGAGTCAAGTGAAACCATTTTTCCCCTCTCCTTTGCTCTTATTCCTCCTTCTGCTTCAACTCTGAGTCAGATGTTATAGTAAGCAAACTGGTATAGGAAGTGTTAAACCATAAATCAGAAGAATAGGAATCACCTGCACTCTTACATAATGAGAAAGACAAATAATGTTGTCTTTATTGTTATACTAGATTAGACATATTCATTTTTCAGTGAAGATTTTTCATTTTTACTTGAAAGTTACCAAAAAAGTCATGAACTTTGACCTGAATTTCATCTAGGAGAAAAGGAAGAATCAGTTTCCAGTGTTAAATTAAATGGACAGTTTATATTGTTATAGAATTATTTCCTGTAAGTTATACTTATTGAATATAATGATTATAGTTTAATTAATAATTTTCTCACTTTTATATGCTTATATTTGTGATAGTAGAGTAATATAAATGCTGGTTTGGGCAGGTTCATACTTATTTCCATTATATTTTGTGTCATTAGAGAAGGGGAAAGATCTTTATATATAAAGATTGACCTCTGGCTTTTAAAGAAGTTGAAATGCTTTATAGTACCACTGCCTTTTTGTAAATGTTTCAGACACCAAGAAGTTAAAAATCAAAACAAAATAAAACAAAACAAAAAGCCCAAGAGATTGGAAACACTTTGATTTTATAAAATTTATGGAAATGTTAATTACAAAAGAATGAAAATCCTTTTTTCAACTAACTGTATATAAAGAGGTATTAAAATTATATGAAATATATTGGTTTTGTAGACTATAAACTCTATAGAATTTTCTATATATAAACACATACTCCTTTAGTGCAGTGAAAAGATGCACAAACATTTAAATCATTTATTTTGAAGAAGATTAACTTTAGAACTAAAAGCATTTAAAGTTTATTAATGATTCTAAAGTAATTTAACTTTTATTAAGTAGCATAAATATATCAGTTTCATCTTGATTTAACGAAGTTCATCATGAAAATAGAACTTTTTGAAATCTTAAAATAGTCTAAACAATGCTCTTCGTTAGGATGAAAACTATAAATAACTTTGATTATCATATTATGTATAACAAAGCATGTCACACTTCATAGAACTAGAATTTAGTACTTTTTGCGACAATCTGACAAAGGGACACCTAATGAAAAGACATGATTGTATATTTTATTGCTAATCACAGGTGCTATTTGTATTTATAATAGTACCTGGATTTAGTTACGTTGAAAAAGTATGTGGGTGAAAGAAAATAGCTGAGGAATTACAATATTTCGTCTTACTGTAGCTAGAGCAACTTTAATCAAAATGCTAGTTTAATGCAATATAAGCTTTCTAAAGGAAGTTATCATAATTATAGTAATACTATACAGGTAATTTTTAACAACCAAGGTCTATAAATAGCTTTAAAATAGCAACTTTTTCTTTTTTCCTTTTCAAAAGTGGAAATATGGACAGAGGTGAGTATTACATATCCTGGACTGGATGGGTAGACATTCTAAAAAAAACCAGAAAAACAGAAAAAGGTAGAATGACAAAATGTTCAGTTTTAGGGACTTGCAGGTAGAAGTCCTCCTACATCTCAGTAATTTCTCTGGAAACCAAAGCTAGTTTCTGAGTAGTTTACTCTTGCTATTCCCTCAAATACTAGCTTAGTTTTACTTCATGGAACACCGGAAATTCCAGTTGCCTTTTATATTCCAAAATGTGCTTTAAAAACTGAGATAGTGTCTATGACTGTGGATGTGGATTATGATTTCAAATGTCAAGTTAAGTTGACTGGATAACCCAGAATAGAATGAATGTGATCTATAAAATGGAAATGATATAGTTTTCTTCTGTTTTGGAAAAGGACAGCCAGATCATTCAAGTTTTACATCTGAGAGCCACTAATATCCCCACCACCGTGAATTTGGTGGTGAGTCTCACCAGCTGTCACAAGATGTTCCTACCTGGACCAGGCTATATCCTGTGCGCTGGACCAGTGCGCGGAGGGCTGCTTCCTTCTGGGTGCCGCTCAATCCATCCCCGGATTTGTGATTTGATTCCATTGATAGTGATTATCAGCAAAAAATCAGGGTAATTAGGGTTGCTCACTGAAACCAAGTTTAAGACAAATTAAGTAAATTATGGTTGTCTAGTCCAAACTTGTCCTTTTCATGAAGGACATCTGTAGGAAACATTCTATATAAATGAGTCATTAAATTTAGAGCAACTAATAGCCACACCCAAACAAAAATAGTTTAAAGTACTCAGTGAAAATGTTTTTTTAAATGTTCAATTTGGTTGAAATTTAAAAGTCAAAACAAAATAACACCCATTCTTCAATTAAAATGCAGATCAGTAATTCTCACTACCTTACTTTAAGATGTCACCAACTGCTCAAAAACAAATTAATTCACATCAGTTAAAATGATATGAGATATGAGGTATGGTTCTTACAGATGTGGAGAAAAGACACTGTCACTAAATGAAATAAACTAAGTTAAGGCATCAAAATTCTGAGATTGAGCTTCATTTATCTAGCCTGTGTGTTACCTAAGAGACATCCTTATTCTCCAATCACACATTTCTAGGACACATTGTGCTGGTGACAGATATACAGGTGTCATTACACAAACATGATGTAATAACATGATGTGGATTTTAACAAAACAAGATGCTTCTGATCATGCACCACATGCTTCACCCAGTTGAGTCCCTGAAACCTTTTGTGACATCTAGGAAAAGATGGACATTTACATAGGTCCCTGTTGTGTATGTAGTTATGAATATATAAGCTCAGCATTTTGTTGTCTCTACTTTCTGTTTTGGCAACATGATTTGAACCCCTTTTCAAATGTAATGGTTGCTCAGACCCACAAGTTTGCAGCACAGGGACAATGGCCATTCTGAAGATTCTGGGTTGTGGTGGCCTGGCCCTGAGGTGCCCATGTCCAAAGGGGTGAATGGATGTGCTCCTGCTGGGCTAGATGTGAGTGACTCAGTGAGGTTTTAGCCAGATTTTTACTCTGCCTAATGTGCTGGGCCACCCAAGACAGAGGAAATGTGTTTACAGTGATTCAAGCCAATTTTAACTTTAATGTATTTGGCTACAAATTATTTTGAAAATTTTCTATTTAGTGCATTGAGATTTTTCTATACTGATTTCTGTTGTGATTTAAAGAATCAACAAATAAGCCATTAACAATATTGGGAACTGATTCAAAAATCAAGTGACAGAGAAAAAGTGAAGCTGAAGTGGTCATTTCAGGAAAAATGTACCTTCAAGGTATAGCATTACAAAATTACTATTACTTAAGTAATATAATAGCAATAAAGTGTTATTTTTAGTAATATTATTAGGACCATTAATAGTAGAAACCATACTATTATTAGTAGCAATAGCAATAAGTATTCTATTACTAAGTAATAGGAAAAAAAGGCCTCCAGACTAATTTTGAAAACTATCATTTAGAATGTAATACTTTCAATGTAATGTAGAAAACCAAAGGGAAAAAATCAATTCTAGAAGGAGAATATTCATTATTTATAGGGATAAAATAGTGTCATCCTGTTCATATAACCATGACCTATTTTACCTGCAGCTTTTCTGATGGCTCTTTCTTATTCTAGACCCAGATCAGTTCAGTTTGCATTCATTAATTTTTTTTTGAGACAGAGTCTCACTCTGTAGTTTCAGCTGGCCTTGAGCTATGTAGCCCAGGTTGGCTTCAAACTCACAGCAATCCTCCTGCCTCAGCCTCCCAAGTGCTGGAATTACAGGCGCATACCCAGCTTCATTCATTTTTTTAAGAAGTATTTACTTAGTGCTTTCTGTATGCCAGCCCCATCTACTACCCAGCTTTAGGGCATATGTTTTACAGGCAGTCTGTTAATTCAGTTAATGTATTAGCTTTAGTGTTTATACTTTGCAATAGTGATTTTTAAAGAAATCTTGATTTTGTATTATGTTAGAAAAAATTAAAATTTCTGACAGAGGTGATTTGATATACATGTGGCAATTTAGGTTAGGACAAGTAGCTTTACTGATGCATTTAGAGTGTAAATACTGTTCCTATGAATACTATCATGAAGAGTCCATTGAGATCTACACTCAGTTTATGATCCCAAACTTCTGGCAAATGTAGTTGAAGAAATATCTGTAGGACAAGGTAAATCCTCTTAAAACAGATAAATAAAACTACAAAATTCATTTTTTGAGGATTTACAAAAAAAAAAACTAGCTTTAAGACAAAATCTAACTCTTGTACTTTTCCCAAGTTACTAAAATTGTTTTTTCATCAGGACATTCTCAAACTCTCCCATTGTGCCAGCTTTAACCCACAAAAGCAGGGACACTGTGGAAGTTTTAATGGGGTTACTTCGAAGGCAAAGTCTATAGTCTTTTGGACAAATGGCAGATTTGCTGAATTTCATCTTTGCTATCAAAAAGATAACAGTTCATGGTGACCTAATGAGTTTGCTTTTGCAAAACCTACCTTTAGTTTTCATTAATAATTAGTAAAAGTGATTAAAGGTATTTTGACATTAGAAAGGTCTTTGGACCTCACAGGAGTTCATTCAAAAGTTATTGAAAAGATTTGTATAGCTTCTGAATTTAGCCTCAAGTCATTGGAAATTAGGACAGGAAATTCAATGTCTGCTGCAACAGAGACTTAAGGGGCTGGATTGTAGCTCCGTGGAGAAGCACTTGCATAGCAAGTGAGGGTCCCTATATTTAAGACGCAGCACTACAAACGACAATAACAAAAGCCCTAAACATAACAGACAGCTGATCTTGAATTTTTATTTATGCAAAGCAACACTCTCTCCTAATGTTGACCTAATTTAAGGGGTTATCTTGAATCCCAGATAAATAATGTTTAGCAAGTTAAACTTCTGCTGAAAAGCTTGATCAATTTGAAATAATGTTTTTGCAGTACATTTTCTAATTTAACATGTTGTAAATTCTATGGATATGAGCATTTTGAAAGAATAGTCCCCAGTGTAATTTATTGAAGCACAGCGTTCAAAACTATACATAGCCAGCGTTGAGACTTTTGGAATTAGATGAAAGTATTCTTGAGTATTTATCACTTATTAATTAAAGGTATTGATCATCTATCTTCCAAGAATTTTCAAGACACTGAGGATGTGATAAAGCACAAAACAGACCCTTTTCTCTAAAAACATTTCATGGAGTTTTATACTGGGTGGGAGAATCAATAAATAAGATCAATAAATGTAATGCACTTATAATTTCTGAAGAGACAAAAGTGAAGTGTGGAAAAGGAATGTGGAGAATGTGTTCATGGGTTGGTGAGCGTTTAGAAAGTATGGTCATAAGTGAATTTGGGAAAAGATCTGGGTGAAGGGAGGGTTGTACTTGGGTAGAGCTTTCTGGGCAGCAGCTGGAAAAATGTGGAGACTGAGCTGGGAGCTTCTTGATGAATAGTGAAGAGGCCTGTGTGCTACAGGAGGGGTTGAGTGTGGAGAGATGTAGCTGAGGTCAGAGAGAAAGGGCTGATCAGAGCATGAAGGATCTTGTCAGTCACATGTCTTTTATACTGGGATTCAAACCCATAGGATTGGCAGTATTTTACTTATTTGTTAACAGGATTCTTCTGATTGTTAGGGATATATTGAAGGGAAGAGCTAGGGCTTGGATTAGGATGAGGCAAGGGAAATATGGAATGCAAATGCAAGGTCTAGTCCTGTTTTTATTTAAAATTTTGTTGTTTTGTTCATAATGAATTTTTGTATTGATTTTGGTTTTAAAAATTGCATTAAAATATTACTGGTTTGGATTACTGAGTTTTGGGGTACCCCTCTTACATTTTATATTGGAGACAATTACCTCTTTTAATTCACTTAACTCACTCTAATTGGCAGGGAGGAAAGAGGAGAAGCAGAACCAGTAAAGGACATTATAACATCCAGCTAGAAAATGATAGTGGCTTGCACTGGAGTGATGACAGAGGTGGTGGTGGTAAAAAATAGTCAAATTTTGGAAATATTTTACAAACTGAGTGGTTGCATTTCGAGGGGGAAAACAATAAGCCGAGGATGGCATCCAATTTTTTGACTTGGGCAACTGGAATAACAGTGTTGAAGGAAGTTTGTGTAAGAAAAGCAGAAGCTTCATTTTGAGTTTGCTGGTTTTGAGGTTGTTTTTAGATATTCTGTGGATAAGTTCAATAGCAGGAAGGTATCAGTCTGCATTTCATGGGAGAGTTCCAGGAAGGAGACACACTTGGAGATTATCTGTATAAGAGTTGATATTGAAGCTGTGAAATGAATGAGATCATTTAAGGACTGAATGTGAATAGGCCCAAAGGTGATCTCTGGGGCCCTTTAACTTCTAGAAATCTAGAGAAAAAGAAGACCTGGCAAGTTTTGGCCTTGCGGTCAGATGCCGGTGGCTGTACCCTGCTCTGTCTGGCTTGACCCACCCACTTGCATCCAGGAGACCGTGAGGACACCCCGCTCCCTGGCCCCGCACGGGCCCACCAGCCACCAGCTTGGCCGTGTGTGAGCCTGTAACAACAGCCTCCTCCACCACCTCTTTGGCCTCTTGGCTGTGCAGCTACCTGGTTCCACACTACAGAGGCACAGGGGGACATAAAGGCCATTGTCCTGAATTGCAGAAGTGAACAACAGAGAGACGGCCTCTCTCAGGCTCCCTGATGAAAACTGAAGCCCTCTGGAAAAGTGAAGAGAATCTCTGCAATATAGGCACACCAGACCATTGTACTTGATAAGTTGGAGGAATCATCACCTCCCATTTGAACTTGGACTGTTTTCAGGGGAGGGACAGCTGGAACCTGTAGTGGAACCTTGAGAAGTTCAGCCCTGCAGGAGGATAGGGAGCTCAGTTTGGAACGTGCAGCCAGAGGTCTGTCTGGGTCTCGTGGGTCTGTGTCTGGCTTACTGAGACTCATTGACTTATAACTGACAGTACCAAAAACAAAAATGAAAAGACATTTAAGCAAGTCACAAACTCAGACCTCCACCCCACAAAAGGCAATTTCTGGGGAAAATGAGGTGGAAAAGTCTGATAATCAACCACCTGGACACCCTAAACTGGTAGCACAGGAAGTAAAAAAACAGATGA